TACGCTGGTAACCGCAATGCTCGACGCAACAGCAAACCTGCGGTTGAAAAACCCTTGCAATTTGTGAGCATAACGATTAATTTCAAAGATGTACGTGGAAGAAGTTGCAGCTATTTACTACATTAATACACGTTACATAAAGAAGAAAAACAAAGAAAGAAGTACTGGGTGCCTCCTTATTTGCAAGCAAGATATGAAAGCAAGCATGTATCGTAATAAATTTGCACCAACTCTTTCTAAGATTTTTGTTTTAAAATTTTTGTAAAAAAAAAAAAAAAGGAATCTGGAATTTGTTGTGAAATAACTAAAACACAAAATCTAACTCAATGGCAGCCGGTCGCAAATTGAGCTGCACAGTGCGAATAGTACCGTTCGACTTGCCGTCATTCGGATTCCCCTACATAATACATTATCTATGATTCGGGCCGCAGCCCTCCGAGCAACCTGAGCGATTTGCGGGTAGCCGCATTGCATATATATATTTCTGCTTTCGGTCAGCCGCACGACTGACTGCATTGGGGGTAATCACATAGTGTATTAAGGTCTTAAATGGTGTAAAATTTATTTCCAAATACGTCAACTGTGATCTATATATCAGATCAGAATGTACAAAATTTGGACCCGATAGATGGTACCATGGTCGAGTTATTAATACGGAACGACGTCTACCTACTACCGTCTAATACTAGCTTGCCAGACAGACGTTGTTCTACCCTTTTCGACGACCCTTTTTTATGTCCTATTAAAAATCCTTAAATTCGCAAAAAAAAATTGTGGGTCACTCATGGGCAAAAAACTATCCTATCTCTCAAGTTGGACCAAACTGCACACGGTGTGCAAATTTGATTAAAATCGGTTAAGTAGTTAAGGAGTCTATCGTGGACAAAGAACGTGACACGTAATTTATATATATACATACATAATTTTATATATCAAGAAATGAAGTGTTTTATTTCAACTTATTATTAAAATAAAGAATGGAAGTTATTTAAGAAAAAACGCTGTTAATTACAATAAAAAATTTGAAGTACCCGCTACGGAGTTTGTATGGAAAATAGTTGTGTTTGTAGATCACTATTGTGTATTAACTATGATAATACCTGTAATTATTTTTAAGTAAATATTGCGATAATAGTTATCCATTTTTAAAACTCTTACATATTGTATAAATATATTCAGTCTTGGTATGCCTTACTATGGATTTAATATTGTTACGCGTTACTGGAAACGAGGCATTCCATCTTAGTTTTGACGCATCTGCATTTTGATTCGTAATCGAAGATAGCCATGACATGTCTATGGTAGTGTACGTTAAACATCGATAGACTATCGATGGTATCGATAGTAAATGGCTATCGATACTATCGATAGTTTTTAAAACTATCGATCGATTGTTTACTCGGGTACTACTTTTACATCCCTAGAGTCGAGGTATGCATGTATGTAAGTTATTCCCCGGCTATAGTGACAAAGGTATAGACATTGAGATTGTTCTCTATGGTAGGGGAATTACCGTGCGTATATCATACATTCAAAGGCGTAGACATTGAGATTCTTCTCTATGGTAGGGGAATTACCGTGCGTATATCATACATTCAAAGGCGTAGACATTGAGATTCTTCTCTATGGTTGGGGAATTACCGTGCGTATATCATTCATTTACAAGACAAAAGTCAGTCAGTCAGTTTTTTATTGTGGATGTTTGAAGTTGAGTGGAGTAACAAACAATTTAGAATTAAACAATAAAACATGAGTAGTAAGTCACGTGCGTGGGATTACTTCAAAAAGACTAATGAAAAGTTTGCCAAGTGTTCTTTGTGTAAAAGAGAGTTTAAACTAAGTGGAAATACTACGAACTTGATCGATCATATGAAGAGAAAACATAATGAGGTATGGATGTGGTCATCCACTGTTTCTGTTACTCAAGACGTAGATACCACTGAGCAAAATGAGAAAATGGGCCCAAGCCCTAAAAAGAGAAATACGCTAAAAAAATTATTTTGATAGAAGTAGTAAATATCCAGATGGGAAAACAAAGCAAAATTTGGATAACAAATACGTGCGCATGATTGCTGTTGACATGGAACCTTTGCGAAAAGGAGAACATGAAGGATTTCGGGATTTTGTAAATGCTCTCGATAGTAGATATGAAATTCCTGATACAACAATATTGAAAAAGAAATTACTGCCGGAATTAAAAACGTGAAACAGAAGCTCGTCATAGCATTATCGAAAGCAGAACATGTTAGTGTGACTACTGACTTATGGACATCAATTGCAAATGAAGGCATCCTTTCAGTTACTTGTCATTTCTTTCACAACGAAAAATTAATTGCACCATTATTGGAAGTTGTGAAGATGGAAGGAAGTCATAACGCAGAAAATATAGCCAGTGTAAGTATTTTTAAATTTTATTGCCTTGATACCTACCAATTCAGTGTTTCTTTATAATCAGACATAAACAATATTATTATTGTTTTCAGATGTTGGATGCTACTCTCTCAAAATGGGATATCAGGTCAAAATGTGAAGCAATAACGACTGATAACGCTCAAACAATGATTAACGCCGCAGCCAAACTGCATATACGACATATACCCTGCTTTGCGCACACACTAAACCTGACGGTAAGTGATTCGTTTGCTGTGACCTGCTTAGACCAGATTCTGAAAAAATGTAAATCGATTGTGACTTTTTTCAAGATGAGTACTCTAGCTAGCGATAAATTACGGGCTATTCAACGTGAATTAAATAAACCAGAACTGAAAGTGATCCAGGAAGTACCCACCCGCTGGAACAGTGCATACCACATGCTGCAAAGAATTGTTACAATGAAGACAGAATTAACTCTCGCACTTAATGAATGTAATCGGGCTCCACCAGGAGTCAATGCTGACGAATACCTAATTATTCAAGAAACAATTCAAATTCTGGAACCTTTCGATCTAGCTACAACAAAAATTTCCGGAGAAAGCTATATAACATTGTCACTGATAATACCATTGATTCGTGGAATAAAAACGAAATTAGTAGAAGTTGAATCTCAAATTGTTACTGAAAGCGGAAACAAAATATTACTCTGCATGAAGGGATCAGTTGACAAAAGACTAAGTCCCTATGAAAGCAGGACACCTGTTGTACTTGCTACAATATTGGACCCCAGATTTAAGAAGAAGGGGTTCAAAACAAGTGACGACGAGAAGCGAGCTGGTCAGTGGCTGGAAAAGGCCTATGCTAGCCATTTAACTAAAGAACGCTTGGCTGTAGAAGAAACGCAACCAACACCATCCACGTCTTCAGGAACATCTAATGACCTGTTGGGATTTCTAGACGTTCCGGACGTATCGACCCCGTTGAGTAACTCATTGGTAGATGTCAGGCAATATCTCGAGAAGCCAGTAATTGACAGAAAAGAGTGTCCTATAACATACTGGAAATACACCAACAATAAATTGAAGGAATTAGCGATGCTCTATCTCTGTATTCCAGCATCTTCTGTGCCTTCAGAACGAATATTTTCGAAGGCCGGACAAATTTTAACCGAACGCAGAAATAGGTTAAAAGAAAAAAGATTAAATGAATTGTTGTTTATAAAACAAAATAGCTGTTATTTTAATGATTGATTTCTAACTATAATAATGATGAATACTGATTTTTGATTGTTTGATTGTTATTTCGAATATATATATATATCAAAATAAAATTCTACGTTTCGTATAACATTTGTTATTTTATTGATGTTACGCTAATCCTACAAGTTTTTAAACTATCGATAGACTATCGATACTATCGATAGTTTTTAGTTAAACTATCGATACTATCGGATTACCAAACTATCGATGTTTAACGTACAGTAGTCTATGGGCCACAGCAATCACTTACCATCAGGTGGACTGCGTGCTCGTTCATCACTCTGATACTCCGTAACATTCTGTGCTATGCATCCAAATGCCAGTCTCGAGCACAGGCGCAGAAAGAGAGCATTCGGTCTAAAGAATGTCAGGTATGTCCATAGAAAACTGAATAAAATCAAGTAATTTGTAATTGAATAAAATAATAGTCATATATAGAGATTTGAACTCTACATTACATTACTTTTGAGTGGATGGAGTGGTGTGACGAATCTCAAAGAAACTTGTACAACTTTTTTATTTTTAAACGCCAAAACCTAATACGAGTGAGAATGGCAGAGACAACGCTCTACGACGCTGAAGCCCACCGAGAGTGGCCCGGATTCTGGGTGTAATTTTTTTAGCTTTTTAATTAGATACAGAATATGATTATATATTTTCTTTTTCGATTTAGATTCGAATCGATTGTAATCAAGTCTGTGCCGTATTTTGTCAAATAATAGGATCTTTTCTCACCTCACAATTCTGGTAAGTTTTTTGAATAAGTGCTTTGGTAACGTGAATTTTGACGCGATGTGCGTTCGTGAAATTTGGCGGCTGGAACTAATCCGAACTATCCCTCAAAACACTCCCCGTGGTAGTTGCGATAGAAAACCGCAAAGGGATGCAACATTCCTACGCAGCGCTAGTGAATCGTGCTGATCAGAAAGAACTCGGTCGATTCGAACCACTATGCATTGAATGCGGTCAAGTTGATGGAGCAGGCAGTGGGGAGACCCGGCCGTGAGATGAGAACAGTATTCCACGTGCGGCCAAACCTGTGCCTTGTAAAGTTGCAGGCAGTGTGCCGGCATGAAATACTGTCGCGGTCTACTGAGCACGCCAAGCTTTTTAGAGGTCAATATGGCCTTCTCTTCCAAACTACACGTCGAAACTGCACGTCACTCGATATGTCGGCTGAGGATTCCGATACTGGCTGAGGCAACAAGGGGAGTGCCTTGAAACTGGGGAGATACGACAAAAGGGTTCTTTTTAGCGGTAAATGCGCAAACTTGTGTCTTCTGAGAATTAAACTGGACTAGATTTAGTCGCCCCCCAACCTGAGACTTTGTTGATGTTTGTAGTTATTGCAAAAGGATGGCTTCTGGCATGAGAGCAGAAACTGATGCACAAAAGGAAAACAGTTTAAGGCACAATATGGGAGCTCATAAGTTATGTGCCAAGACATTTCATAAGTTACTAAAAGCAGACTATTCTGATAGTGTCACAGTTCGTTTTGATCTCCAACAAATTCATCCTCTTCTTAGACTGCATATTAGTGAAGCTTACTATGCTCGGCAAATAAACTTTTACACTTTTTGTATTGTTGTTCTGAATATGGAGGATCCACATTTTTTTTACCTGGACAGAAATGGAGGCTGGAAAAGGCTCAGTGGAAATATCCTCTGCTATATTATCATGTGGTGGCTCAAGACCGTGCTCTGTGGCATACCTTGGGGGAGGCCTATGTTCAGCAGTGGACTTGTGAAGGTGGATGGTGGATGATGATGATATTATCATTTTTACAAACATACAATTTTGTTGAAACCAAGATCCAATTGAGACTGTTCTGTGATGGTTGCGGAGGGCAGAACAAAAACATGCATGTTGTTCATAAATCATGTTGGTGGCTATTTAATAAAGCTCCTTTACATATTGAAGAAGTTGTTATGTTCTACCCTGTAAGAGGACATTCTTATATGCCTCCAGATCGTGTCTTTGGAGTGGTAGAAAAAGAATTGAAAATATTGAAGAAATCATCACACGAGAAGAATATACACACAACTTTACTCTGGAAAAGAAAAATTCCATGAATTGGGAAAAGATAGGAACACGCTGGATATAAAAAGTCTATCAGAACTCATGAAAAAGATGGGTGGTACCAGAGATGCTAAAAGTATTTATTTAAAAAAAACCATGGTAAGAAACAAAGCAACAAGGCAACTTAAACCAAGAATTGATGTCAAAATAGAAAAATTTTACTAAGACTATGGTCCAATTATAAAACGGGGTTTAAAATTGAAAATGTAGTGGAGCCTGCACTCATCAATAATAATAATCTACTAAATCAGGCAAAGAAAAATGATGTAAACATGTTCCCGAAGAAACGTTTCGGAGAGGAATAGCAAGTTAATGAGGAGTTCGAATATTATAAAAACATTATAAACAGTCATGGTGATGGTGTCACTGATTTAGATCAAGAACATCAGGAAATGTGCGACTATTGGGAAAAGGAGGATGAATTATGTAAATTTTAGTTCAGTGAGTAATACTGCCGTCATAAGCAAAAAGGGCACAACTAACATTTTTCCCGAAATTGAGTTATATGAACTCGAAATCAGAAAAAAGGCCCATCTGCCAATATTTTTGTACAATTTTAGGGACATGATAAACAGAGATACCGTAAGCTCAAAAGGCACAACTGAGCCACGTTTTAAGTTTTTGTACGTAAAAAGAGCACATCTGACTTACAGTACGTCAAAAGGTCATATAAGCATAGATGCGACTTTTATTTGTATCACAATAAATATAATTTGTCAATTGAACATTATATTTATCACAATAAATATAATGTTCAATAATTTGTTAACTGGTTTCTGCCCGTGACTTCACTGACATGAAATATAAAAAACATTGCATGTGTTCGTAAAACGTCTCATAACTGCCCATGCATATTAATGAGTCAGTTTACTTTTACGGGTTTGATACTACCTCCCGTTCATTTTTATCAAAAACAATACTACAAAATAAACTTTACTCTTTTTTCAGCAATATGCAATCACGAAGCGCAAAATTAGTGCTGCTTTACGCAACGGTAATTCTGTAGCCAAGTGGTCTCCCGTGCCGTCAACAAGTAGTGGCGTTCAAAACTCGATGCAACCATCAAGCTCAGAGCATGTAGTGGTGCCGCACTATGTTTTATATACAGGGTCCGATTTTGATTCTGATAACTCAGTATTGGATAAAACTAACGAATTGCCAAATGCAAGAGAAAAAATAGCTCATTCCGTCTTGCTGTGTCCCATTACAGACGTGAACATGCCCCTAACAGAAAGTATTTGCCTCCTGATCTCAGTATTCGAATCATGACCGTTACTTTAAAAATGCGCCTGAAACGAAAATATCGTACGGTTTTTACAGAAAAAATGTAAAAGAACCTAATATCTTTGCCAATTTAGGCTACGAGGAGTGTGGTGAGCAATGCGATAAGTTTACAATTCATCACCCAAATTCAGAAATTAGGCTCAGAGGTTGTAAAGCATGTAAAAGTAATGAAAAACATCACGAAAAGTATATTTTAGCTCTCAAGAAGTACGAAGAAGATGCTGATAACATCTCTCTCAGCAAAAGAATAATGTCGAGACTCTTATTTTTGCCGTAGACTTGAAAAAAGTTATTATGATACCCCGTATGGAAGAGTTCAAAACAGTGATGTTGTCCCCGCGGCTTATTGTTTTCAACCAGTTTTTTACCGATAGGAGACAAAAAATACACGAAGTTGGTTACCCTTTAGCCGTTTTGTGGCACGAAGGAACGTCTGACAGAAAAAAAGAGGACATTTTAAGTTGCTTCAAGGCTTTTTTATATAAAAACCGAGACCTAAAGCACCACGTAAATTTGTGGTTTGATAACTGTGCAGCACAAAATAAAAATTGGACACTTTATTCTTATTTGACATATTTGGTAAACTCTGCCGAAGTTAGTTTTGAAAGAATTAATTTGCGCTGTTTGAAAGTTGGTCATTCATTCTGGCTGCTGATGAATTCCACCACAGAGTGGAACGAACTCTAAAAACAAAAAAACGTATTTATGACTGAGGATTTCTGCAAAGCTGTATCTGATACTGGCTCTCACGCAATATTAAAGAAGATGATTATTCAAATTTTTTTTTGATTTCGAAGACTGCTCTTCGATATTTAAGTTGAAAAATTCTATCCTTCGAGCTTACATGAATGAAATTGCCGAGGGTAGTTTTCGCAGGGTATTCAATTTATTATTTTACAAAAATAGCCATGGCACTGAGTGCTATGAATCAGATTTCCTTAAGTTAAAAAAAATCTCAAAGAAGGTATTCCAGCACCACGCCAAAGACATGCTCCGAGAGGTATTACGAGTGAAAAAAATCCGCTATACTCACTAAACTTGGTCCACTTATGCCTAATAATAGAAGGAATTTTTGGAAAACCTTATAGGATAGCTAAGCTGATCTAACTCAAATTTATGAAGACTGATTATTTTTTAAGTTTACTCATTTTGACCGAAGTTCTATATAAATACCTTGATGGTTGTGATAACTTTATAGGTAGTTTTTTTAACTTTTGAAATAGTTTAAGTTTACTCTATTTTTGATAAATTTTGATTATAGGATATGGCCGGAATTGTAATTATGGTAACCTTAAAAGTTAAGTGCCATATTTAACAAACGTTATTTTCTAAAAGCTTATTTTCTTAAATTAGAAGCTGATCAAAAATCCTTACTGTGATTTTTACATAAAAAAAAAACAAATAAGTTCCTTGATGAATTAACGTTAATTTGTTAAGTTACGGTGATTTTAGTTTATTTTTGTAAACTTTTTCAAATAAAAGTTTTATAAATATTCCCCCAATTTTTTCACCTTTTTTTTTTGTATTATTATAATGAAAAGGCACATTTTGATAAATATGCTCTTTCATTGTATTATTTCATATTTTTACACAAAATGTCAGAATAAAAAGTCACATTTGGTTAGTTATGCCCTTTATTCGTAATATTAATAACTTCACTACATTTTTATGCTACGTTGAAAGAGAAAATGTTGATTATTTAATAAATGCCAATAAAATAAAAAACTTATTACTCAATAATCGTATAGGAATCGTGAAAATGAATTTATTTGAACGCATTTATTTTCGAAAAATAATATTATAGTCGATATTTTTTGCCTATAAAAACTATGACCAATCGACGTTTCGTATTTCCCTGTTTTCTCCACGAAAACTCAGCCGATTAAATTATTTTTGGTATCACAATTTAAAGTAAGAATAGATCTATGCTCCTATTATTTGTTTTTATCTTAAAAACCTCTCTAATTTCTTTGGTAGTCGTCTCATTACTGAGGTAAAAACGGGCATTTTTTTAGCTTTTTGGAAAGTCATATTTATTTTAGTAATAATTTTTTGAAAAAAAAAATAAATGATAGGGGCATGCCTTCAATAGACTTTGATTTTTATAAACAATAACAAGTAGTCTAGATGCATTATCCAGGAAGAGAATAGGGGAATACAGTTGTATGGAAAAAATGCAGCCCGTCTACGCTCTTAAATAACAGTGATATTTGCAAATTTATAGGCATAGTAGGTACCTAAAATATTCTTAAAAGAAGCCTCAGAAGCATTGCTAAAGCCAGCATCCGGGTCCATCATCAGTTCAGCGCCATGGTACCATAATTGCATTGTCATCCAAGTTATCTAAGTTACATAAGTACGCCATATTTCAGTTTTATGGGTGCAAGTGCGACGAAAGTTTGAACCGGAATGACATACGAAGTAAGTAAAATAATAGGTAATAAAAAGAAAAACAAACACTAGACTTTAAAATATAATGTGACTTCCGTCTTCTACAATGACAAATGTTAAATTTTAACGTTGGTAGTAAATATTCCTCCAAAAATTAGCCATCGTTGAACATACAAATTATTTCTAGTCAAATTCGTGGTCCACTGATCTTGAATCAAATGCACTTTTTTTATGTTAATATTATTTCAAACTTATACAGTGTGATGACTTAATGTAGTTATAGTCGCTATTTCTAATTTTTATGTAGTAATACTAAAAGGCACGAAGATACTGCACTTTTGCTACAGTAACCATATTGTAAATGTTCTATAATTTTATTTAGCAATACTAAAAAGCAAAGAGATACCGCGTTTTTGCTACAGTAGCCCTACCGTAAATGTTGTGCGTGTCAAATCTTATTTCATAATCGGCTGCGGTATTTGTAGGTACAGGACGGACAGCGTGCGCTGTATATACAATATTACAAATAGCAATCAAATCATTGGTATAGTTTCCATGGGGGAACATAGTTGCGAGCAAGATATCATAAGAAAGACGTAGTATTTACAAACTAACTTTTATTTCACATTAAGATGCTCATTAGGTAACAGTTTTTAATTTCATTATAACAGAACACTACTCCTGTCTAACAATATATATCTCATTATTTTACTAATATAAACATTAAACATAACTAAAATACAAACCTTGATGCTCGAACTGCGCTCGCTATTTGTCCCGGTTCCAAGCTTTTTTTATTAATTTATCTGTAACATCTACTTACATAATTACCTAGTTAATTCTAATGACGTATGTGACATAAATTGATAACATTTAGTGCAGTATACATTTTAAATTTACTTTTATATTTGGAATATTGTTATCATTGCTGAAGCACTAGTTAATAAATATTGTATTCTAGGTGAGTTTTGTTGGATTTAAACTCAAGTTTCACAATTTTTAAATCACAAATGCTCGTTTCTGTTCAAACATTACATAAATGTACATAATATGTATTTTACAAACCTTGTTTTAAATGTATATAATTTATATTTTCCAATTTAAAATTTATATCTTTTTACATTGGAAAATAATATATCAAATTAAAAAAAAAGGTAAAAAGAAACGTTGATTTACAGCAGCGACTTTAAACTTGAAATAATACTGGTGCAAGAACTTGACTTGACAAATCTTAAAATATGTAAAGCATATGCAACATCACATAGCAGTATAATATTAAATAAAAGTACAAAGAAAGATAAATTCACAATTGCATATACTATGTGACATGAACGACCAATTTGCAAGGACGTTAACACATGACAATGAAGTGTATGAAGGCACATATTTCTTGCACACGTCACAAAGATATTCCATTTAATCAACGTCCGTACCTCCAAATACGCAGCGAACTGTTCTTAAAGTATATGAAGTACAATAATAACAAAATAGGATTATAACAAAGAGAGCTTCCTTTTATCATATATGTACGTAAGCATACTTGGATATCCATAACGTCGTCTTTAATGGTGGCTGCTCCTCGACGCTTCTGCGTCCTGTCGGGTGATGTTGAAGGCTTCTGTTTTTAGGAAATCCACAGTTTTGTACGCGGAACCAGCGTCGACAGCGGACAATGATTTCCCGTGAACGACATCAATAGTTTTACGCTGCAAGTCTTGCTGCTGAAATAATAAATCCCAGTTTACTTAATCTATCATGTTATAAATCGTTATCATCATTTTTAAAGCCCTCATATCCATTGCTAAACATAGGCCTCCCCAAAGAGCCACAAAGTACGGTCTTAAGCCACCTGCATCTTTTACTAAGAAGCTCCATCTAGTGGGGGTCTATTAAATTAGTTTTCTTCGTCCGATAAATGATACACTCTTACCTATTCCTGCCGCCTAACAGTAGTGTACTGACTTCCGATCTACAGAGTAACGGGAGAGCCAGTATAATTACTTATGTCAGGCTTTGCATTGTCTTCAGATGTAACAGTGCACCTAAAGCCATCGTTGTTTGAGGAACTGGTTGCAGATATTAATGGCAGTAGCCATTTTATCAATTATCAGAAGTACTGTATATTTAAAAAAATGTAAGAAATCATTTTCCATAACTCTGACGCTTTTTCATTAAAATATTTAGCAACCTAGAATAAGATTCTCTTTTAAATTAATCAACCTGCACACATCCATCCTGTACCGCTAAAGGGGTATGTTAATATTATCAATTGAATTTTTATTTCACGGTTTGCTTCGTCGTTCATAATGCGTATATTATTCAAAGAATGGAACAATTTTCCGGCACCAGTCTTTCCATCCGATCGCAATGTGGGTTGTCTTCAAGGCAAGAGTGAAAAGGCTAAGGTAAGTTAAGCTAGGTGCATTGTGCCTAATACTAAGGGATATTAAGGGCGGATTTAATACCTTATGGCATTCTCTGCCAGTCAACTCTACATGATTTGAGAAACTGTGTTAGGTGTAAACAATAACTTCTTATATTTAATAAATATGTAGTAAAGATATTAGATAAAATAAAATGCTAATAAATAGAAT